ATGGAAACAAAGGTAAAAACTGGTAGGGATCATGCCACTTGAGGGGGCTGGGGGATAGGACAGGGAGAGGGCAGAGCTATGGCAGACAGAAGTGTTCAATCAGGAGGAGGAGGAGGTGTGAAAGGTGGTAGAGTGTTATGTAGGAAACCCTATTAGCAACAGCACTGTAAACCAGTGTAAAAATACATAAAAAGGCTCTCCTAGAAGCAAACTTGGTAGATGGAAAGCAAATGCGGGAGGGAGGAGGGGAGCACTGGTGGAGGGAAGTGGATAGTGGTGAAGCAATTCATGTTGAAACATTGTATGCCTGAAACAAGGAGTAACTTTGTAATTTTGATACAGTACCTACCCACTACAGCGGGAAGAGCTTTTGCCTTACACTCAGTCCACCTGGGTTACATCCCTGACACCCCATTATAATTCCCTGAGAACTGTAAGGAGTGATCCAAGAGCACAGAGCCAGGAGTACGCCCTGAGCATCACTTGTGTGTGGTCCAAAAACAAAACAAAAAATAAATCGAGGGGCAGAGGAGATAATACTGTGGACAAGACACTTGCCATGCATTGACCAGCCCAAGTTCAATCCTCAGCACCCCAGATAGCTCCACAGCCCATCAGGAGTGATCAGGGGTGATCCCTGAGCAGTCAGGAATAAGAAATGAACACTACTGGAGAAGGAAGGAAGGGAGAAGGGAGGAGGGAGGGAGGGAGGGAGGGAGGGAGGGAGAGAGGGAGGGAGGGAGGGAGGGAGGAATTTTATTAAAAGGTTCTTATCTTTAATCTAGTTAACTATATTTCCAAAAGACTGATTTTAAGGTCAGATAAGAGAATATAGGGGTTAAAACTTGTCTAGCATGTAGTAAACCCCATTTCAACTCCCAGCCCAACATATGGTCCCCCAAACACTGCCAAAAACTCTTGAGCACAAAGCCAGGAGTAAGCCCTGAGCATCACTGGTGTGGCCAGAAAAATATTTATGCCATGAAGTATATATTTTGCATTACTGACTACTCTTTTCATAGCAAAACTAGAACCAATCCCATTTTGCATCCAGCAAATGAAAATATGACATGTCATACAAGAGAGTATTGATATATCTCAATTCTGCATCTATGTGTCTATGACTAGCATTAGATCAAATGCTGCTATATCCTTAAAAGATGTCAGGACAACAAAATTAAATAATTGTTTGGGTTATTTTCAAGATTGTTTTAGAGAGAACACACTTTACCTTTTTTTAAGGCGCTTGCCCCGTATATGGTCAACGCTGGTTTATTCAATCCCCAGCACTGCATATAAAGTCCCCTGAGAACCACCAGGAATGATCTTTGAGCTGCCCTCCCGAGGGTGGCCTAATACCACCTTCTGCCCTGCAAATAAATTCTATTAAAAAGTACTTTTCAGGGGTCTGGAGCGATAGTAGAGCAGGTAGGGCGTTTGCCTTACACGCTGCCGACCCGGGTTCAATTCCCAGCATCCCATATGGTCTCCTGAGCACCGCCAGGAGTAATTCCTGAGTGCAAAGCCAGGAGTAACCCCTGTGCATCGCTGGGTGTGACACCCCCCCAAAATATTACTTTTCAGGAGGCTCAGGGTTAGTATCCAGCATTACATGTTACCCCTAGCACCCAAGGTAAAAGATTTCCAAGTTTAGCCCCCCACCAGTACCAAGATGTGTAACCCCCAAAGCAAAAAGACCAGTGAGCTCAAAGGCCAGTATGTTTTGCATGAGAGAGGAGTAAATTCATTCCCAGATCCACGTGGTAATAAAGTGCATACCCTGCACGCAGGAGATGAACTTGAGTGCCAGCAGCACACAAAAATATAATCTTATATTATTTTTCAAAAAATGCCCTAAAATAAAATCTGTATTTCATTCATTTGCTATTTTACCATTATAATAATTCAAAGTATTCTGACTGTAACATGACTTTTCTAACATGCCATCAGTATACTGGTTGGGGATTTTCTCTAATTAGCACTAGACTCAAGTATTCTAGTTTTAAACAGGGACACAGGACTACAACACACAAAAGGTATCTACTTCTTCACACACAAGCCTCTTAATTTCATTTTATATATCCAATTTAAAAATCCCCCCTTTAACTAAGTCCACAATTTCACCTTGTTACCAAAATGAAACATTTGTAATTGATTTCAAGTACTGTAACCATTTAGAACCTAACAATTTTCTAAGCTAACTGGAAACAAACTTAACACAATGTTTCCTCAATGCCTTACCTACAAACCTTAGAAACAAATCAAATGTTGACTTCAGCCAGATGCCATTAAACTATCATGGAACCAATATAGAGCATAAATCCTCTGGCTAGAGAAATCTTCCCTTCCAACAGGTGTTTGCTCTGTATTCTTCCTTTAGTTATTTGGTAAAAAGGACTCTCAAAGAAACTTGTTTCTCTTAACATGATCCATTCTTAGAATTCTAGGCACAGCGGGTAGATCTCTTGCTATGTACACAGCCTATCCAGGTTCAATCCCTGGCACCACATATCGTTTTCCAAGCCTGCCAAGAGTGATCCCTGAGCACAGAGCCAGGAATAACCTGAGCACCCGCCCAGTGTGGCCAAAAAAAAAAAAAAAAAAAAATCTGACTGCATATCCAGCAGTTACTTTGTAGCGGTTCCAAGACAAAGCCAATAATTCTGCTCATACCCTAAATAATAATCCACCAAGCAAAGAAAAATTACCTTTTTCCAAATTAAGAAGCTATTTTGATATATTTCCTTGGTTGATTGATCCACAAATCAATATAAGCAAAATTCAAAACAGGTTTAGCCTCATCCCAAAAGTTTAAATTTAATTAAGATTAAATTAGTACAATAATCACAGTGCAATAGGATTATCTTTTCTACCTTTTTTTTGGGTGACATCCGGCCATACTCTGGGATGACTCCTGGCTCTGCACTCAGTAATTACCGCTAGCAGTGCTGGGGTGGAGAGGGGAGAGGAGGAGTAGTATGGGATGCTGGGGATAAAACCCAGGTTGGGCACATGCAAGGCCAGCACCTTATCCACTGTACTATTTCTTCAGCACCTCTATATAATTTTTGTAAAAATCACTGTACAGAGCATAAGACCCGGAAGTTGGCTATCTGAAGATGCTATGTATAGGAGGGGCCAGGTCGTGGTTCAGGAACAGTACTTGGTAGTGTATGTGTGAAGCTCTGGGTTTGATCCCTGGCATCCAAAAAGAACTACATGTACTGAGAAAATGCTTCAATGCTCTATTACATTAGAGAAGGGTTATGTGGGAGAATCAACAGGCTTTTAAATGTTTGTAAATGCTCAAATTTATGTTACATTTCCTATGTTTTGCTATTGTACACTCAATAGCAATTGTATGTCCAGCCCCTTAGAATTTTATCCTCAAACATCCTGGAACAATAAACTTAAAAAGGCTGATAACAACTCCGTACTATAAAAGTGTTTATGCAGAAAGGGACGTTAAGCATTTGTGTAGGGAGGAAGGAAATAAAAAATTACCAGCAAATGAACTAAGTTTTCAAACTGAGAAATGCATTATTTAATTTGTTTTGCATCAATTTCTTGAAAATTGCTTACAAGTCCACAATCTTTCAAATGCAAAAAGTGAAGAAATCAGAACAAAAGCTAAAAACTAATGCTAAGGCACTGACAGAAAATCTATTTGCCTTTTATCAGGGTCAAATTATTCCACCTTTATCAAGGGGAAGGAGGGGGGAAAACACTGTATAATTATAGATATTTTCACTTAAAAAAGTTCCAACAAATTAAGTCATTCAGTGGCTCTTCTAATCGGTCTGAATATACTGCAACTCAATCAAGTCTTAATTAAACCTGGCACACAGAAAGGCATGTAAGAGTGGCAGTTCTACAATGACTTGCATTTTACACAAAATTTGAGGAAAAAACAAGTAAATATTTGCGATAAAAATTCAGAAACAAAAAACCACCTCAACGGCCTTCGAAAAGGCAAAAAAGAAAAAAAAAGTGTTAAGTAGATTTAGATACATCTTTCCAAAATAGGCAAATACATGTATAGCCCAAAGCTTCAGCAGTCACAAAATTCAGATTCCCAAAGATACTCATTTAAAGAAACAGTAGCAAGTAGTGCACTCATTTCCTGTTCAGATTTCAATTCAAATTTCTGCCATTTCCTTTTAAAGGAAATCGCACAGCAATACCGTGCAGAGTCGGCGATACTCCTCCTGGTCCCTGCACACACACGACCTGACACCCAACTATAGAAAGGAAAACCAGCCAGCTCTGGGTCTTGACACTCCAGAGGAGTAGCTGCTGCTTATGATCCTCTTATACATTCACGAATTCTGCTTCCCTCCAAGGATGGGGCGGGAGGGGGAGGAGGGGAAGGGCTCCCTGCGAAATAAAAGCGAGTCGGCCGAGCAAGCCCGTTTTGAAGAGTCATGGCCTATAGCAAGCACGTCACTTTCAAGAGTTTTCATCCACCAGCTAACAGGCTACAATGAAAGCCAACCACTTCAGGGGCATCTTGACTGTGCGCGAGAGCGTGTCCTTCTGCCCTCGCTCACTACGTGCGGTGCGCTAGGACTCGGGCGGGCCGGGAGGAAAGGGAGAGAGGGAGTCGTGCAGCTGCGACATTTCCAGATAATTAAGCCTCCCCGAGGGTAGGTGGTTTCGGGAAGGGAGAGGTCCCACACGCTCCAGCGCCTTCCAACCCCTCTCGGGGCGCACGCTCGGGGTCGGAGCGGCGTCGGAGCAGGGCCGAGTGGAAAAGGTAGGAAGGTGCGACCGGGCAGGGGCCACGCCGCGGGCGGCGGCGCCCGGCTCGGGGCCCGCGAAGGTTCCCGGGCGCCCCACTGCAGAGGCGAGTTTGTGGGGCCTGCCTGCCGGGGAGCAGGCCTCGCCTCGGAGTTGCAACACACTCTTCTCTCCAGTGCGCAGCGCTCGGCCCGGGGGAGCGGGGGGAGGAGGGGAAACAGCTGCCAGGGGAGCGGCGAGCCCGACCCGGCCCCGCTCACCGTGAGGGTGTCGTCTATGTAGAGGGGGATCTGCCTCCGCTCGAAGGGGAACTCCTCCTCCCCGTCCCTGCACACCGCCACCAGTCGCGCCATCGTCCCCGACGCTGCCGTTGCCACCGTCACCACCTCCTCCCAGCTGCCGCCGCCGCCGCTGCCGCCGCCGCCGCCGCTGCTGCTGCTGCTGCCGCCGCCGCCGCCTCCTCCTCCCAGCTCCTGCCTGCAACAGCCAAACCCCGCGAGCGTAAGCACCCGCCGCCGCGCCGCACATTCGCCACGGGGGGAGGGAGACGCGCCGGCGGGGCAGGCAGCGGCGGGCGGCGTTTCCCATCACCCGATTCCACACGCGCGCGGCCAATCAGCGCCAGGCGGCGCCGGGACCCGCCCCCTCGCGCCGTGCTCCCGCCCCACCCCCACCGCCTCCGGCCTCCACTCCGGGTCCAAAGGCGAGGCGGAAGGGACCCGCCGGTCCGGGGGGCTTCCCCAGCCCGCCCCGCGGCGTCCCGGCTCCGGGACAACCTCCCCCCCGGGCCCCGCCCTGGGTTGCACAGCGCCCACTCCCCGCCGCCTCAAGGCGGAGTGAGGGGGACGCGGAGGGGGAGACCCCCACGGCCCCCGGACTGCTGACCCGCTCTCCACCCCCCCTTCCCGGGCGTGCCCCGCCCCGTCAGTCTCTGGGGCTCAGTTGCCCAGCGCGACCCCGCCCCTGGGAGGGGTCGACCCCGCCTCGGTTCTGCAGAGTCCGCCAGGGGCGGGGGGTGGAGGGGGGGTCAGGGTGAAGCGAGGTAGGGTGGGGTGGGGTAGAGGCAAGATCCAGACCCCTCTTCTCACCCTTCTTGGAGGAGGCCTCCCGGTTCTGACCTTCACCGTTTGTCGCGGTCCGCCTCCCTGACCCCCAGCTCTGCTCCCCGTTACCGGCTGACGAGGCCCGCGTCAGGGCCGGCCTGGGCGGGAGCGCGGCTCCGAATGCCGTTTCCTTGCCCAGCTCAAGTCAGCCGCTCGCGCCACGGGGAGTGGGGGAGGGAGGGCGGGGGACGCGGGGAGGGTGGGGCAGGGAGGGGCCGAGCGCGCCCGGCGGGGCCCGCCTCCTCTCGCGAGACTGGCGGCGCCGGGGGCTCGGGGCTCGGGGGCCGCGGCCTGGCCCGGCCCGTCCTGCTCCGCTCCTGCTCCTGCTCCTGCCCCTGCCCCCGGTGCCCTCCCTCCCGGGCGTCTACAGCCCCCTGGAGTCAAGCCCAGACGGGCCCGCTAGCGAGAGCCAGGCGCGCCGGTGCTCGGGGCTCCGCCGTGCGGGCGTGGGAGCCGGTCTGAGGTCTTGGAAGTCCGTGGGAGGGGAAGACGGGAAAGGCGAGGCTCCCGCCGGGTGAGACCGACTCGGCTGGACGCTGCTTTCCCCCGACACCCCGGTTGCTCGGGAGGGAGCCAGTGGCTTCTCCGCTGTCTCAAACTGCGTGCAGCTCCCGCCCAGGGAACCTGGCAGAAAGTGCTGACCGGTTTGGACACATGTCGATGTTACACCGGAGGCAAAAAAAAAAAAAAGACTATAGAGACAGGCCAGAGAAATTTCTTGTCCCGGGTTAATATTAACCGCGAGACTTAGACTGGACACCGGTTCCCTTGGGCAAAGTACTGGCACCGGCCAAAGGCCCTGCCCTTCCTGTGGCTCCTAAGAAGCAGCTGCTGCAAAGGAAAAGCCTTCTGCGCTCTCGGTGCAACTGGGAGCTCAGTTCCTGCGCTGAAGGCTCTGCAGGCCTGTAAGAAAGCCAAGATAATAGCGGGGAAGTGTTTTACTTAGGCTTCATGGTTTTAAGGAACCCATCCATTTGTTGCCCTTACAACTCACTACGCCTCTCCTCCCAAGGCTAGAGCTGTGATACTGACCTTTACAAAGTATTTTGGTCATCACATGAAGTCTTAGAGTCACAACAACAAAAGACCCCATAGTGCATCCTTAGCCATGTTGACTTATGACATTGTGTGGTCACTGTGAAGGTAGGTGACATAATAAACTGAAAGAACCATTGTTCAGTCCCAAAGGTGTGATTATCCAGAATTTGTTTTTTAGGCAGTTGGAGCAGAATGGTGTGATCTTTAGCTTCACTCCAGTTCACGTAGAGGATGTGCATGCTGCTTCTGACAGGTCATTTTACAGAGCCCAAGTGTGGACATGTTTAGAGACTTGTTTTTGGGGTATTTTTTTTTGTGTTTTTTTTTATATATATATAAAACCACTCCTAAGGAAAGAAAGACTGCTGTGGCTTTTAAGATCTAATGGTGCTCCCATAAAGGCTCGTCAATTAATGTACATACCTATCTATGCCTTTTAAACTGCCTTTGGATTATAGTTGGTGATGAAGCACCTTGAAAATGACAAACTAAATTTATAGGTACTAATTTTATAACTTTAATTACTGAGTACATACAGGCAGTTAGCAAAAAGAATATTCACTCTGGGGGTTTAAATTTCTTAGAAAAGGCACCAAGACCTGCATATAAGAGATAATAAGATTTTAAAAAAAAAACATGGTAGTACCACCATATGAGAATATCTTCCCTAATGTTGAATTTGTCTTTTAGGTCTGGTAAGTACACTGCTTAGTAACTTTGGACAATATTTTATGTACAACAAGTATTCAATAAGGAAAAAATATTGGTTATTGTGCTAGATAAGTTGCCCAGGGAGGTAGAGGTATAGCTGGTGTGCGACAAATATAACATCAATAATGGAGGAAAAATACTTAGAAAATCGGTTTGCACCAGAGTGCAGCACGTAAGGTGTTTGCCGTGCATGCAGCTGACTTGGGTTCGATCCCCCACAATCTTATGGTCCCCAGCATTGTCATTAGTGATCCCGGTGTACAGAGCCAAAAATAGGCCTGAACAACCCAGGGAGTGACTGAAACACCAAAAGAAAAAAAAATCATAGCAAAACAAGAAATTTTGTGTCTTCTTCGTTTTAAAGCATGGGCTTATTTTTATCTTCATTAGAGATCTGTCCAGCTATACCAAGTACAGCTGCAGCAAATATTTCACAGCTCTAGTTGACTAGATAATAACATTAAAAAGACATTGACTGTTTTCAAACCTATGTATTGTCATTGTGAAGTGCAGGGTTAAAAGATTAAAAGACCAGGAGACAAAATGGTCAAAGTCAGAAGATATTTTGCTGGTACCTAATAAGAAATAGAGTAATGGAATCTTGGGGGGAAGGGGTTGAGAAAAGAAAAATGCAGTGATCAGCAAAATATTCTTTTTTTTTCCCTAAATAGATTCTCACTATATGAGAGCCAGCCACAAAACCCAGCAATGAGTGAGATACGACTGTTCCTCCAGGCTACCTAGATTTAAAGAAAGAGTACCATTTTTCAGGGGTATGGTGCTGCCAGCAGGTCAATCTGTACCTGTGAGGCGAGTGCATCAGAAGCCTGATGGCACCATCAGACTTTCAGATACCCCAAAATTGCTGCTGTGCCTTTGGCCAGACCCCAAAAACTTGGGGCAAAGTTTACCAAGAAAGTAAACAGCCAAAAGTTAGGTATGTGGGAGACACACCCAAAACCACCTCTGGCTCAGCTATATAATTGGAAGCATGGCCTCTCTGTTTCCTGATCGAGCTGCTTAATGGCCATGATCCCAGAGACTCAGAAACGAATCTCAGTTTTTGGCAGAAATGTGCCCTGTTCCTGCAGTAGGTTACTGGCACTGGACAACTCCAGGTGGGAATAGGTTTCGTGCCGTGGCCTGTTTGCCCTGGCAGCCCGGTGACCCCATTCTCCAGAGGCCACTGGACAGTCAGGTTTGGGCCTGCAGTGACGAGACACGTGGATGAAGTGGAACTGGCCCTTTCCTCCCCATCCCAACGAGACCCCAAGTCGCCGCCTACAAATGGCCTCTCTGGCTCCTGATCAAGCTGATTAATGACCATGATCCCAGAGACTCAGAAACAAATCTCGAAACCCAGTGGCTTTTGGCAGAAATGCAGCTGGACCGCATACAAGGTGGCCGCCGCCTCAGAGCTTACTGGAAAGCCAGGTATGAGCCAGTGTTGATGGGGCAACTGCAGTCTCATGGGAAGGGGGGGGGGGCGGTACTGGCTCGTCGTTCATGCCCTACTGAGGTCACAAGTTGACCCCCACGAGCAGCTCTCCGGCATGGCCATGGCTCCAGAGGCAAAAGGACTTTGTTCAGAGCCCAACAGCTTGCGGCAGAAAAGTGAATGGACCATGTGTTAAACTACGGCACCATGCCTCCCAGGGAGGGAAAGGGTGTTGCTCCCTTCCGCCTTCCCCCCCCCCCAGCAGCAAGGTGGCCGCCACCTCAGAGCTTATAGGAAAGCCAGGTATGAGCCGGCGGTGACGGGCAACTGCAGTCTCATGGGAAGGGGGGCAGTACTGGCTCATCCTTCATGCCCTACCGAGGTCACAAGTTGCCCCCTACAAGTGGCTCTCCAACACGGCCATAACACCAGACACACAGAAACCAATCTCATAATTATCTGACTCTTTGCAGAAATCCAAAATCATTATATGATTCTCATAACCAGCTATAGAAAACGAAGTATTTCACAATGCCTTTTCAGCAATTCTGATTGTTGTGGGGGGAATTCTAAACAATAATGGTGCATCTTTTGTCAAAATAATGAATGTAATTAATGTAGAGAAGAGTTAAGTGGAAATCATCTGCCTCACAGGCATTGGGAGGGGGATATATTGGGGTTCTTGGTGGTGAAAAATGATTACTGGTGAAGGGAGAGGTGTTTGATCATCATATGACCGAGACTTAAACCTGAAAGCTTAGTAACTTTTCCCACAGTGATTCAATAAATAAATATAAGAAGAAAAAATAAATAAAATTATGAAAAAAAGTAAAAGAAATAAATAAAGAGTACCATTTTTGTCCATGTGTTATCTTCCTAGACTTTTGAGAAATGCCTATGGAGCAAAGGATATTTTTGTGTGATTTAATATATTGCACATATGAATGTGCTTATTAAAATCAAAGGTGGGGGTCAGAGAGAGTACAGTAGTAAGTATCTTGTACAAGCTAGGTTCAATCCCTAGCACCAGATATGGTCCCCTAAACCTGGCCAGAAGTGATCCCTGAGCACCACAGATGTGGTCCAAAAAACTAAAAGCAAAAGTGATTGCTAACCTTTTTTCCCCTGAGGGGGTCACACGTGGCCAATTAGTCTCCACAGCCTGAGATGCGCTGGCAGTAATGCTATAGAGTCACAAGTGTTAAACCTGGTACCTGACCCATCTGTGCTGCAGTGGGAGCCACTGGGTCCACCAAATCCATATTCGTTTGTATTCAAGAGTCACACAGTTCTAAGGATCAAATTCACGAATCACGACCATCCTGTTATTCATCGATTGCCTCGAGCAGGCCCCAGTAATGTCTCCTTCATCCTAGCCCTGAGATTATATTCAAGGCTCTTTAGGAGAATGAGACCCATCATTGTTACTGGTATTTGGCATATTGGGTACGCCACAGGGAGTTTGCCAGACTCTGCCGTGTGGACAGGCTACATTCGGTAGCCTGCCAGTTTGTCCAAATTCAGGGCTACTTATATGTACTCTAGCAACTGAGCTATCCACAGACCTCTGGTTATCATGTTTTCGACACAAAGCTATTGGCTGGGGATGAAACTCAACAGTAGAGTGTTTGCCTTACACATTTGAGACCCTAGCATTCACCCCCAACACTGCCAAAAAGTAAATAGATAATGAACACAGAGTTACCAATACACGTAATAGATAGACCCAGTTTATAACTGTGTAAATTTAAAATCATGAGTCAGCACATCAAGGTCAACATAAAAGATCCAGACCATATCATACTCTTCCCTCTTTCCTCCTCTTTCTGTCCTCAAACTGATAGGTGTGGACAAGAGACAGCACAGTAGCCTGAGCATGTGGTTAGTGGCAGGAGGTCTGTTTCCATCCTGGCACCACATATGTTTCCAGAGCACCACCAGGAATAGCCCCTGAGTGTGGTAAGGCATGGCTCAAAAACAAAACAAAACAAAATGATCACTGAGGTTCTGAGTTAATAGTACAGGGGTAGAGTGCTTGCCTTTGACTCAAGTTCAATCCCAGGCATCCCATATGATGTCCCGAGTCCACCAGGAATGATCTCTAAATGCAGAGTCAGGAGTAAGCCTTGTGAACTGCCAGGTGTAGCACCCCCCCCCAAAAAAAAAAAATATATATATATCACTGAAAAAAAACTAATTAGAATACCTGCTTCACTGTAACGTTTTATGAGGTAATAAAGTCTATAGCAGGGGCTAGAGCAATAGCACAGCAGGTAGGGCTTTTGCCTTGCATAGGGCCGACCTGGATTCAATTCCCAGCATCCCATATGGTCCCTAGAGCACCGCCAGGAGTAACTCCTGAGTGCATGAGCCAGGAGTAACCCCTGAGCATTGCCAGGTGTGACCCAAAAGCAAAATAATAATAATAATAATAATAATAATAATAATAAAGTCTATGGCAGGATAGTGTTAAGATTACCATGGGAGTGTTAGGGAGATTGCTTAAGTTGCTTAAGGGTCTGAGCTCATACTTTACATGCAGAAAGCCTGGGTTTGACTGCTGTATCTCCCAGCATCCTTGGGTATGACCCAAAACACAAAACAAAATTACCATGTTTTTTCCAAGTCCCTACCTGCTGTGCTACAGTCTGGCCCTTGTACTTTTTTTTTTTTTTTTTTTTTTGCTTTTTGGGTCACACCTGGCAATGCACAGGGGTTATTCCTGGCTCATGCACTCAGGAATTACTCCTGGCAGTGCTTGGGGGACCATATAGGATGCTGAGAATCGAACCCAGGTCGGCCGCATGCAAGGCAAATGCCCTACCCGCTGTGCTATCGCTCCAGTCCCCCTTCGTACTTATTTTTAAATCTATTTAAATGACACAATTTGTGAGAGCACTCTGGCTGCCACATCTGTCTCCCTGTTGACTGCTAGAGTTGATTCAGCTAATCTGGCTGACTCAGTGGTGTTCCCTTCTTTCCTGTCTTTTTCATGTGTTCCATGTGTCTTCAAGGGACCGCTTGCTCCTTGAAGAGAACTGCCTTCCTCCAAACAAAAAGACATTTTTCTCCCACTTAGATTGCTTCAGAAGGGCCATACCCAGCTGTGCTAAGGGTGTGCCACACCCTCTCCTGGGAGATCACAACACAGGGGACCATGCAGTGCACGGGCTCAAACCCAGGGCCTCCACATGCAAAGCAGACACTCTAGCCCTCTGAGCTATCTCTCCAGTCCTGAATTTAAATAAAAACAACTATATTATAGAATACCTAACCATCATGAAATGTTTGTATAACAATGCTGGGGCTGGGCCAGAGCGATAGTACAGTGGGTAAGGCATTTGTCTTGCATGGGGCCAAACCGGGTTTAATTGCCAGCATCCCATATGGTCCTCCAAGCACTGCCAGGAGTAATTCCGGAATGCAGAGCCAGGAGTAACCCCTGAGCATAGCTGGGTGTGACCCAAAAAGGAAAAAAAAAAACAATGCTGGGGCCAGAGAGATAGAAGTATAGCAGGTAAGGCTCTTGCCCCAGGTTGCCCAGGTTCAATCTGAGCAGAGCCAGAAATAGCCCAACCCCTCCCAGTCCCAATAAACAGCCCCCAAAACTAATGCTAACATAATCGCTAACAATATACTTTTTAAATTTTTGTTTCAAAAATCTATCACTATTGGGGTTGGAGCAATAGCACCGTGGGTAGGGTGTTTGCCTTGCCCGTGGCTGACCTTGGGTTTGATTCCCAGTATCCCATATGGTCCCCGAGTGATTCCCCAGAAGTTATTCCTGAGTGCATGAGTCGGGAGTAACCTCTGTGCATCGCTGGGTGTGACCCCAAAAAGAAAAAAAAATATCGGTCACTATTAATATTCAGTTTTTAAATTTTTTAATTCTGGACCAAAGAGATGGTATTTGGGTTTAGGTGCTTGTCTTGCATCCTGTCAACCATGGTTTAAATCTCTGATACCACTTATGATCCCCAAACACCACCAGAGGTCACTCCTGATCACATAGCCAGAAGTAGGTCCTGAGCACCACTGGGTGTGGCCCCAAATTCATAAACCTTTTTCTTGTTCTTTTATTAGACTAGTAATATTTTCCTTGGAAGAGGTGGGGGCCATACCCGGCAGTGCTAAGTGCTGAGTCCTGGCTCTGTGCTCAGGGATCACTCTTGACATTGTTCAGGGGATCCTATGTGCCTGGGATAGAAGCTGGGTCGACCACATGCAAGGCGAGCACCCTACCCCCTGTACTATTGCTCCAGCACCTGAGTGTGGTGTTTTGTTAAGAATTAACATGAAGAGGGCCGTAGTGATAGCACAGCGAGCAGGGTTCTTACCTTCCACGCAGCTAACCTGGGTTCAACTCCCATTGATCCCCCAAGCCCTGCCAGGAATGGTCCCTGCGCACTGCTATGTGTGTGGCTCCTCAAACAAAAAAAAAATTTTTTTTTTTAAATAACATAAGGACAGCGAAGACTTGAGTAACCAGCTTTCCATGCAAGTTCAATATACTGGCTTGGTCCCTCAAGAGCATGGCGTGGGGGGCCAGAGGGGTAGCACAGTAGGTAGGGCATTTGCCTTGCACACAGCTGATCCAGGTTCGATCCCATATGGACCCCTGAGCACTACCAGGAGTAATTTCTAAATTCCTAAGTGCAGAGCCAGTAGTAGCCCCTGAGCATTGCTGTGTGTGACCCAAAAAGCTAAAAAAGAGCCCAAAAACCAGAAAGAAAAGAAAACACGAGAGTTTGAAAATGCAGATGATGAACAAAAAAATTATATAACTATTGCATATTTTCATAAAACAATAATCATAAGAGTACATGTATTTAATTAAAAGCTATCTAGGTTGTTTGGAAGGGTTATTCCCAACACTTTCATTCTATTAGCTATATAATCATGTTTTCTCAGATTATACAAAATTTTGAGCCAGAGAAATAGAATGGGGTTAATGCCCTTGCTTCCCATGTAGCTGACCCGTGTAAACCCCGGTAACACATATGGTCCTGTACCACCAGGAGTAATCCCTGAGTATAGCCAAGTGGTGCTCAAACTGCCCTCCCAGCAGCAGCAGGTGTATAGGAGGGGAGAGGCTGGAAGGAGGGGATATGAATGCCAGGGATCAAAGCCAGGCCTCTGCATGCAAAGAACGTGTTCCATCTCATTGAACTCTCTTTGGTACCTTAGTGCAATGCTGTTTGGTGGTTGTTTAATGTCTGTTTCCCCAACTAAATTGCAAAATGCAAGAGTTTGGGAAACTGTATTATCTCTAGAACAGAGTAGGAAAAATATATATTCCCAGGATAGGGGAGCTAGCTCAACAGGCTGGAGCACATGCTTTGAAAGCAGAGGCTTCAGGTTCGATCCCTGGTACCAGGTAGTGCCCCAATCATCACCAGGTATGATCCTCAAGCGGACACCACTGGATGTGGTCCAAACACTAAATTTAATTCTTAAAGTGTGTCTACTGCCAGGGACCTAGCTCAGTAGTAAAGCACTTGCCTTGCACATATGAGGCCCTGAGGCCCTGGGTTCAATCCCTGGAGCTGCAAGGGAGGAGGGAGTGGAGAATCGAGCCTAAGTAAACCTACTGTTCATCACTAGTATACATAAAAACAATGGCATACAATTCAGGCCTATGCATTGATTGGAACATTCAATTTTTCTACCATTTTCTTTTAACCACTTGTTTTATTAGAATGATGCTCTTTTTTCCCCTGTAAAGTGCTGGGTATTGAGCCCAAGGCTTCAGGCATGCAAGTACCATGAGCCACAAACCCCACCTATACTATGGCTGCTTTAAGGAATTAATAGTAGTGTTTAGGGATGTGACTCCAGTTCTAGAGCACATGCTGGGTTCAATTCCAGCACTGCCTAGTTCGGGAGCAGTTCTGAGTATATCACAACAAAGTTTACAGCAGATTTAGCAGTAAAGAAGTGCTGACGGGGTAGGGGGGATGGGGTGGATAAGTTAAGGGAAATGATTCACTAGGATATGGGGGAAGGGAAAGTGCCTAACAGAGGCAGGCTGGGGGTGGGTGGGAGAGAAACAGGATATCGGTGGAGGGAAGTGGGCGCTGGTGAAGGGATCGATGTTGGGACAATATGCCTGCAATTCAATCATAAATATCTTTGTAATTTTGTAATTCACAGTGATTCAACAGAAAAAAAAAGTGCTGACAATTCCATAATTACAACCAAGATATTTAATACAAACTTTATTATGAAAGTAAGTAAGTAAGTAAGTAAAGGCCCTCCCGTTGATCATCGATTTGTTTGAGCGGGCCCAGTAACGTCTCCATTGGAGACTTTGTTGTTACTGTGTTTGGCATATCGAATACGTCACAGGGGGCTTTCCAGGCTCTGCCGTGTGGGCGAGATACTCTTGGTAGCTTGCCAGGCTCTCCGAGAGGGGCGGAGGAATCGAACTCGGGTCGGCCATGTTGGCTGTGTGCAAGGCAAACACCATACCGCTGTGCTATTAAAAAAAAAGTACAGGTAAGTAATGATATAATTTAAAAATCCTCTTTCCCAACCTTTGGTTAAGTTTCAAGGCCCAAGCATCAAGCTGGGAGAATCCTTTTGTACCACTGCGTAGAGGCCAAATTACTCGGCCCCAAATAAAAACTGAAATTCACAAATATTTTAATAAATCAGGTTTTGTTTCTTCTCTTTAGATTTGAAAGTATCGTGAAAGAGATTCAAATCTCAAGCACAGGGGCTGGAGCGATAGTACAGCGGGTAGGGCGTTTGCCTTGCACACAGCCAACTTGGGTTTGATTCACTGCATCTCACATGGTCCCCTGAGCACCACCAGGAGTAATTCCTGAGTGTATGAGGCAGGGGTAACCTCTGTGCATCGTCGGGTGTGACCCAAAAAGCAAAAAAATCAAAACAAAACAAAACAAAAACAAATCTCAAGCACAATGCTGTTACAATGGGCCTAGGGCATAAACACTTAAATTTTATAATTTGATATAGTTAACACTGGTTTGCCAGAGACATACTTTCTTCACATTTATTCTTCCATATTAAAATACTCTTGTTTACAGATAATATTCTACTCATATTGATCACCAAAATTTTATAGTTATATCTCGCAAGTGTAGCATATATATAATAAAGCAGTTTGTAAACATATAGAGACTGAGCACAAACAAGGCACATAAAGTACTGCTATGTAGTGTATCTAGTGACAGGTTGATCAGGCCAGTTGTTATATTTGACAGCAAGAAAAAAACTAACTGATTTCTGTTCAGGGCTGTGATTAAACAAAGACTGGGTTCCTTTCTTTCAGTCTTAGACTTTAGAGATTCTATATTGTTCTTATGGGTTGCAGGCAACTGGGTAAGTTTCCAAGAACAGGGAACCAGAGCTTCTTTAACTAGAAATTTGGCAAAACTCAAAATTATATCGCAGAATAACAAAGTACTAAGAATGATCAAGCAAGAAGCAACTATCCAAATACAAAAGGCTAGATTAGCCATCCTTCGAGATACTGCTTCTACCTTTACCTGAACTACGGAAAGAGATATGAAGAGACTAATAGCTACTAACAGAATACAACATGCCACTTGTATCCAATCTTTGACCTGTGTTCTTTTTCTAAATATATATGAACCGGTTTGCACACCAGCCATGTGAATTGCCACATACCCTACAGAAGATATTATTCCTTCTCTGTTGGCATTTAGTAAACCAACTCTTGTGCCATTGCCATCAGTGCCATGCAAAATTAACATTTTCAGTGAGGTAAAGTCAAGGGCTAGCTGGTAAAATATAGAAATGCCAGTGGCCACAATCCAGGATTTATTTACAGGGAAAATAACCAAAAGCAGTGATGTTATCAATTTCACAACTATTAAAGTAAAGAAAAAATTCCAGTGAACTCCATATTCAGTTACATGTTCCTGATAGTCTATAGATTTTATAACAGCTGATCGTCCTATACCAAGGAAAATTAATGGCCAAATAGAGTATACTAACCTTAGAAGATAACTAAATCTAAACCCTTCTGTATATTTTTTCCTAATCTCTGGAGAAACAATTGCAGCTCCAAAAACAAAGCCTCCTACTCCAAAATCCATTGCTCCTATCCCATAGAGCTCTGCCTTGGCAAATCTTCTGGGAAAAATTGGGAAATCCACAGCCAAAATGGCAACAGCAGTGAATACACTGTTAATTACACGGAAACAGGTAATGGCTGGAATATATTCTGATTCTAGACTGATTTTCAAGAATTTTTCCAGGATTTTTTTGAAAGGCAATCTGTCAAAGCAAGTCCTCCTGCTGTATATGTGATAGAACAGCCCTGCCCCAAAGAGAATTAAAAGGAGGTTCTCCAGGAGGACAAAGGAAGCCAAAATAGTCAAAATGGTCACCATGGGAACAATTAGGACAACAAAGTCAATCAAGAATCGAGTTCTCCAACTATGCGAAGAACACACATGCTGGAAGAGAATAAGCAGGAGTCCTCTGAGCAGGATACACAGGACTGGCAAGCACAAGCCCTCAGTGACTTCCAGCACACTGGTTCCATTGAGGTTACTGACAAAAGCTTCCTTCATCTGTTTTTGAGACATTTTTCTTACCTGTGAAACAAGAGAGCAAAGGAAGGCATTTGTGGAAATCAACAATGTTATGAAGCAAACTTGATTTTACTCTTGATTCTGTTCGTTTGTTTGGGGGTCACACCCAGCAGTGCTCAAGGGTTACTCCTGGCTCTTAGCTCAGGGATCACTCTTGGCGGATTCAGGGGACCATATGGGATGCCTGGGATGAGGAAGAGCAAGTCAGCTGTGAGCAAGGTAAGTGCCCTACCTGCTCTACTGGCTCTGGCCCTGATTTTGCTGATTCCTAGGTTTCCAGACATTCGATCCCAGTGATTTCCAACCAAAGCAGAACCTACGTCTTGTTCTCCCCTTGCAAGAGCTGTAGGAAGGAATCCGATACCAATACATTAAGGGAAATTTTTCCATTGGTTTAGGGACCTGGGAGTATTTTTTTTTTTGGATAAGGTTATTGTTTGGCTAATGAATGCTTTGCAAGCACCACATATGAGCCCTCAGGGAGTGACCCTTAGCAAGAAACTGGGGTGTGGCCCCAAAACTAAAGATAAAATGCCAGTCCTTCAGTCATCAGCTGAGCCCCAGGCTGCTCCTTATCCTATTTACAGACAGGCGCATTTTTCAGGTTAAGGTGTCGGTTTAGATGCTAATGATAGGGTGAGAGCGGGAAGGCCACGGGAAGACACACACTTGTTGGTCAAACAAACAAAAAAAAAGCCTACGGGGCCGGGGAGAGGGGGATAAAATGCACGCAGGCACGCACGATGGCCTGTCGGGGCTCAGCAACAATACCTCAATCTAATCCAGATCCGCTAGCGTTTAAAATGAGAGTCCTTTTCTTGACAGACACATGCTCACACGCTCCGGTGGGGTCCAGGCGGCCGCTCTCCCACCAGATGCCCAGTTACACCGCCCGGAGCGAGCCACTTCCGCCTCCCAGCCGCGCTTCCGGCGCCGCAGCGTCTGCGCGTCCCTCGCCCGGCCGGCCGCTGCCTCCGCTCCCAGCAGCTCGCCACTCCCGGCCGCTGGGGTGGACTCTTCCCCCGCTTGGCCTCCAGGCTGCCGAAACGGCCCCGACGTAACAGCTGCACCCCACGCTTCCCCCCACCGCGAGATCCGGCCCGGGTAGTGGGGTCCGAGCTCGCGGTGCAAGATTAGGGCTCGGCGTCCCCTGCGGACGTACGCCCCCGCGGGTCCCCCGAAGCCGCCGTTCGAACCCCTCTCACTCCAGGCTCGCACCGTGCCAGCCGCGGAGCCCCGGGCTCCCCAGCGCCCGGCAGGCCACGTGCGCCCCGGGCCGCGTGTGCACGCCCCGCCCCGGGGGAGGAGCCGCCGGGCTCCGGGCCACTTAGCCAAGCGGCTGCCCGCTGCACGGAGCCGGCGGTCCCTGCCGCGCTCGTCTCTTTGGATCGCTCCCGCCCCATCCTCTTCCCTCCCTCCCCGACTCCTTCCTGCCGCCTCACCCGGCCCGCCCGTCCGCCTTTCCCGCCTGGGGCCGCACGCTGGGCGGCTCGGGCCGTGGGACCGGTGAGTGCCACCCCTCCTAGCCCGGACCCCGAAAGGACGGGGGACGCCGATCTGGCCCGGAGCACCGAGAAAGGGGCCGTCTCCTCGCCTCTGCCCCCAAAGCGCCTTTCCCCGTTTCTTTGGGACTCTCCTGTGTCCCAAGCAGGGGTACCCCGTCTCTTGGCCCTTGCCCTGGTCATGCTCCATCTCTCTACCTTGCCGGCAGGGGGCGATCCAGGGGGGGAGGGTAAAGTCCCGACCGAGGCTGGGTCGGGCCCGGGTCGGCCCGCTCTAGGAGACGGGAAGGGGGCAGCCGGCCCCTGGAGGCGCATGGGCCCATGCCCTTGGTTACGGTCACGTCCACCTTCCCGAGAAGGACACACTCTCCCCGTACCAGGTGCTTCCGGAGCGGCACCCAGCCCCGGGCGGGCACCTTGTCAGGACAGGGAGTCCCCGGCTCCCGCGGGGAGCGTGGGGGCGGGGCCGACCCCTTCCCCCACCCCTCACCCACCACCACCAATCCTTGCTCTCTATCCTGCAGTCCAAGCGGAGAAAATCGGAGTCTAGGAAGGAGAGAGCTGTTGATCAGGTTCCCACTTGTCTTGCCTCGGTGTTTCGTCTATTCATTACGTCTCACTCCTGCCCACAGTGATCACACCCTTTCCAGAAATTCTTGGCTGGTAACCGTGAAGAAAGAGCTGGGAGAACTGGAGAAAACCGCTCGAATCTGACTTAACGCTGGCTGAGAGCTGACGCTGCGTGGTAATAGGCAACTTTGGCAAAGTGCCCTCAGCGGTACTAGCCCGTCTGGTCCTAAATCAGAATTGTTAGGTGTGCATATTACTCCCTTTCTTTGCAAATGCGGAAACACAGTAAGACTTGTGATCTGTGGCCTTTAGATTCTAAACCCACAGCCTGGTGTGCCCGCCCCTCCCCCCACCTCCCCTAACTTTGTTTTCTTTGGGGGGGGGTGGGTAACACCTGGCTATGCTTAGGGGTTACTCCTGATTGCACTTAGTGCTTGGGGGACGATATGGATGTCAGGGATGGAACCTGGGTCAGCCGCATGCAAGGCAAACACCCTCGCTGCTGTATTATGGCTCCGGCCCCCCACCTCACCTAGTTTAAAAGTGAGCCTCCACTTGAGGAACCTTTGCTTTGGAGTCAGTTGGCCCCTCCTAGTCCAGAAGGAGCAGGTGCAGGCCAGCATCAGGACCACTGTCCAGCTACTGTGGAAGATCCCCTAAGTTATTTCAAAGGTCCAGCAGATTCAGAACCTCAGGAAAGATTACACTAGGATATCTCTGTGACAGACACCCTCATCCTTTTTTTTTTCTTTTTTTATTAGTGAAAAACCATGAGGTACAGTTATAGGCTTACAAATTTTGTGCTTGGGTTTCAGTTATACAATGATTAAGTGCCCATCCCTCCACCAGTGCCCGTCATCCATCCCCATGGGTCCCAGCATCCCCCCCCCACCCTCATCCTTAATCCTTGCTCCTGTGTCGTTAAGGCCTGGGAAATTCCAACATCTCAGAGTCATTTTTTTTTTCAGACCCACCTAATTGCAGCTTCACAACTCCTTTCCCTGTCATTTTCTGCCCCCCCCCATACCTCCCCATTGTTTTTGAGTTTGGGGGCCACATCCAGAGATGCTTAGGGATTACTTTTGATAGTCTGTACTCAGGCATCACACCTGTGCTCCTTGGGGTGGGGGTGGGGGGGTCCTAATGCAGTACTGGATATCCACAGGGTCAGCCACGTGCAAAGGGAGCTCCTTAATCTCTGTGCCATCTTTTTGCCGCCTCCCTGCCCCCCACCCTTTTTTTTTATGTTCACATGGGAGTGTCCCACTTGCTGGGTCCTGCCCATCCTTCAGAGCAGGACTCACCACATTGTCCCTCTGCTCAAGTACTCAGGCTTGCCTTTTGTTCTGCCAGGACCTCACTGACCTTCACAGCCACTCATGTGAGGTAGGTTTTTTTTTTTCATTTTTTACTATCAGCATTTTCAAGGTGAGGCAATCAAGGTGGGCCACGATGGTGACGTGGCTGCCCGCCAAATGACTGAGCTGTGATTTCCCTCCCACACCCCAGCTTGTCTGAATCTGCGGGTGGGCGTTGTCTTCGCCCTCCCCGCCCACCAGTTGCTGGCAATAGGGAAGTAAGATCACCCTTTCCAGAGGAGAAGGTAGGACACACAGCTCCTGTCTGCAAATGCTGTGGTCCTCCATGGCACACTGACCCAGCAGATTTGCAGATGCCCCCCCATCCTGGTAGTAAAACTGACCCTGAGGAACCTCTGCTCTGCAGGCCCTTGTAAAAATTTCCCTTCTTCCCTAATTGGCTGGGGCCAGGACTGACTCTCCCTCTCTGCTCAGGCTCGTCCTGCTTCTCGTTTGTGGGAGTAACAGGAGTGAGTCACCTGAAGACGCCATCCTCGTGTCATCCCTCTCATGCCGTAGGCTCTGGAGTCCCTGGTTCCAGATTCTACCAGAATTAAGGCTTTTCTTGGGCCCATGCTCCAGCCCGGACCCCCATGAGTGGGTGGAAAGCACTCATGCCTACAACCCAGAACCCGGCTGACCACACTGACGCAGGATGCTCCCACAGGTAAGGCCTCACCCTTCGTGAACGTGAGTCTCCCAGCGCTGAGGAAACTGCTCATCTTTCCCTGCTTGAATGAAATCCTGGCTGCTTTTCTCTTGAGATAGTTAGGCCAGAGCTTCTCTTCCATTATTAACAAGCTCTTCCTGATACCTAATTTCAGTCTTCCCCGTTGGATTTTACTCAGATGGGTAATGGTGCAGGTGATTCATGATGCTGATGAGGGAAATGGGGAGTGAGGGAGGTGATAGCCTCAGGAGACAGAGAGTTCGACCCACCTCACTCTCCCTGGGAAATGTGTGTAGTTGGGGCTTAGTCAGGGCAGCCCTGAGCACCTGACTGGCTTGGATGTCACATGCCACTTGTCCCACTGGGTAGCCATCAAGCTGTACTTGAGGTCCACTTGATCTCCAAGCACAATTACTGGTCCCAGCACCTGAGTTTTCAGGCAACTGTGACCTGAAGACCAGATGAGGAATTGCTTTTTGCAGGAAAAGGGAGACCAGACCTAATATCTGCCCAGGTCCCCGGGCCCTTCCCCGGGCCCTCATAAAACAGACTGTCAGGAGACAGTTTATTTATTTAGGGAAATGTGAGGGGAGAGAGACAGACTGGGAGAAATTCCTTAGTGCAGAGCTAGGAGTCACCCCAGAGCATTACCAGGTGTGGCCCAAAAAACAAAGAAAGTTGTTCTGTTATGAACAAACCTTATGTTTTATTATGAAATCACATAGTGTCTTAATAAAAATTTTTTGAAAAGAAAGAAAAAGTATAATTAGGCTATGTCATAAGGGGAAGCACCTTGCATTGTTGGTGGTCCTCTCCTGTACTTCTTGCAGCCATTTATTTTCCCTTGGAAATTCTCCTTTCTGTAGGGATCCACCCTTCTGCAAGTGGTGCCTCAGTTTCTACATTTTGGGCCTACTTCAGGGCATGATAGCTTCTCTAGTTCTTCCTGAGAAAACTCATCGCTAGGGGCCCATTTGCCTGTGTGCTTCCGGTAAAATGGAGTGGATCAGGGAATCCTGAGGGCACTTTGATGACCTTCCAAGCCTGAACCTGTGAGGGAACTCTCAGAGATTGAGAGCAAGCCCAAATTACTGAGTTACAGTGAAATCCTCCTGGACCTTCCAAAGGGAGATATTCATCAAACGAGTTGGAATGAGCTAAGTGGAGACCATCAGCAGCCAGGCAAAGAGATCAGCCTGGGCAAAAATGTGTAAGGTGACCTAAGTAAACACATAGGATTCTTATTTGTTTTTTTGTTTTGTTTTGTTTTTTTCTTTTTTGGACCTGGCGATGCACAGAGGCTACTCCTGGGTCTGCACTCAGGAATTACTCCTGGCAGTGCTCAGGGGAACCATATGGGATGCTGGGAATCGAACCCTGGTCGGCTGTGTGTAAGGCAGACGCCCTACCTGTTGTGTTATCGCTCCAGCCTCAGTTTTGTTTTTTTGGGCCACACCCAGTGGTGCTTGGGTTCTACCCAGCCCTGTAAGGGTTCTTGATCAATGAATACTGGAGTGCTTGTGGACCAGGGGATCCTCAGGGGATTTAATTGCTCTTACAGACTGGAGAGATAGTATAGCAGGGAAGGTGCTGATCTGGGTCTGATCCCTGAGCCCTGCCAGGAGTGATCCCTGAGCACCTCTGGGTGTAGCCTAAAAACAAATAAACAAAAACCTGCTCTTACCACTGGTCTCTACTTCTGAAAAGGTTACAGTGGTCTCTCCTTTGCAGGATTCCAACCACTTTTTTTTGGGCCACACCCAGTAGTATTGAGGGCAGGGATTGCTACCAGTGTTTGTGGGGAGCCTGGCAAGCTACCCGTGACGTATTCAATATGCCAAACACAGTAACAACAAGTCATCACGATGGAGATGTTACTGGGTCCGCTCGAGCAAATCGATGAACAACGGGAGGACCGTGACCGTGACCGTTTGTGGGGAGCCATGTCCACTTCCTGTGCTCATGGAATTGTGCGATGTTGCCATGTATTCAACCTTAAATCACAGGTTCCTGCATCAAAGCACGGGCTCCAGCCCTTTGAGCC